AGTTGCCCTCATCCTACTTTTAAGACTATAATTCTTCTGTCACTTTTTTAAGAATCATTGATAATATTTCGATAAGAACATTTTCCCTCTTAGAAACTATAGAAATTCTATTTTTGAAAAGCAATTTGAAAAGTTTTTTTTTTCTTGCTAGAGTAACAGAACAGCAACGAGTTGGCTGATGGAAAATATCCTGACCATTTCACTATATTGGCTTTGTGACTTGTGCTTCCTGGTTTTAATTAGGAACTGAATTTTTTTATTCATGTTTCATTTTAACTGTACTCTTTATTTTCATCTGGGTTGGTATTTGTATACCCCAAGGCATACTGGTCTGTCTTAACGTGTGAATGTAGTATGAAAGAAGCAATATGCAAAAAAGCACATTTCGACAGACTGGTTTACATAATGATAGAATCACAGAATGGCCTGGGTTGAAAAGGACCACAATGATCACCTGGTTTTTCAACCCCCTGCTGTGTGCAGGGTCACCAACCAGCAGACCAGGCTGCCCAGAGCCACATCCAGCCTGGCCTTAAATGCCTGCAGGGATTCACATAAATTGCTCATCTTCTCCCTGCATACTGGTTCATTTGGTTTTGTGGATGATTTCCTATGTTTTGCTGGTTGAGAAAAAATAAATAGTAGTTTAAAAAGGGTAAGAAGAGTTTCAAATCAATACATTAGACTTCTGAGTGGGGTGGTTTATCTTTCCAGTAATTTATCTCTTATATTTCAGTTGTACATTTGAAAAGTTATTACTTTTTTTTCCCCTTTAGGGTCCTTTGTTTTAAAATATTTGGTGATGAATCACGACAAGGTCGTGTAAGCTAGATGTTGCATTTCTGTTTTAAAACATTCTGCAGGCCTGCAGTGTGTTTCAAACAGATGAACATTGCCATAGCACATTGAGCAGAGAATAGATCTCTTGATGGTTTTTACACCAGTTGAGGTGTCTGTGCTTTTGATGAAGGTGAATTTGTGTATACAGTGAACCAAGAAATCCAGCCCAAATCTGCCAAGTCAGTACATGACAGTCATTCCTTAGAATGCTATGCTATCCTTTTTGCTTTCTTGAATTCTTTTTTTTACTGATACATAGACAAGTATCTGTGTCATTTTTCAAAGAAATCCTCCACTTCTTGTTACATTTAGAGAAGTCTGGTCAGGCACCTGCATGAATTTTCCCCACTAAAAGTTCATTGTGACTTTTTGGCTTGCAGAAGGTCATTTTTTTGCTCAGACTTTTGTATCCCAGCATTGGTCACACAGGGAATGGGTGTCAGACATCAGCTGGTGTCGTGTTAAATATAAAGCAACCTTTATTATGTACTGCTTAGCAGAAGATATTTAATCTTAATTTCTTTTTTAATAACAATATTGGAACCCAATTTAGTTATATTTTCTATTTAATTCTCGTAAATCCATTCTGCTTGGGTTTAGATTGTGAGTGAAGGGATTGCTTGCCTGATGTTGCCTCTAGAGAATAAGCAACCAAAAGCTGATTAAACTTCCAGGTTGGTATTGTGGCAACAGAAGTTCCTATTCACCTTCCTTAAAAGCTTTACTGTATGCCTGGGATTATTTCACTGACACACAACATTTCATGAAAAGATTTCCTTTTTGGATGGGATTAAGTTATATCTATGTATTTAATTATTCTTGCAAAAGGTTATTTTATCATTTAAGCCTTTATTTTTGAAATCAGTGGGAAAACGTTCACTTAAACCAGGTAAATTTTTAGGAGTTTTGGCAATTGAGGAGACTATCCTTCCTTTCAGAATGCATTCTATGAATCAAGAATCAACGTTTGTAGAAAAACCCAGTCAAATACAAATTTGTAGGATGAGACATATCTGGGCTTCAAGTTTTCCTGATGATAAACTTTAGTTATTACCAAGTCTCTATGCATGTACTTCGTGCTTTACATCCGTCTTTAGCTTCCAAGTCTGCAGGATTTGTATGACAGTGACTTTTCAAGATATTTGGTGTTTTCTTGATTACTCAGGAGGGCATTCTGCTGCCTGCAGGTAGTGCTCTACAGCTGTGCCACAATCCAATGAGGTTCGACCAGCAGCACGGCTTGGCAAGCTCTGCTTCAGCAAGCACTTGGCTGCAGCGTTCAACAAATTTGCTAGAACCTGGGCAGTAATAACTGTTTAATGTAGCTATGGAGCTAGTGCTAGCATGGGTCTGATTCCAAGGAGGATAATGCACCGCCTGTGCTTGATGTAATGAGTAAAAGTAGACTAAGTGTGTAAAAATATGCCGAACAACAAGAACGAAGTTCAGCTGAGCAAGTGAGGCTATAGGGGAATTCAAGGTACAGTAGCTTTAGTTACTGTAAGAAATTGAAGCTGGGGCCAGGAACGCTTGCGAGCCAAAAGATGAACTCATCCACAGTATCAGGCTTCAGAATTATTTAAAAGCAGTGAACATCAGCAGTGAGCAGCTCTGAAAGTGCTTTTGGCAGGAGATTCTTTATGAAGGCTTGGCAGAAATCCAGGTCAGGACACAAACTTACAGTCAGCCGAGAGGTGCAGTAAATACAAACTTTCCAATTTGAGAAGTTAAAATAACTTTACGGCTGTGTCACCTCCAGGAGCTACACTTGCACGTTTTTCCTCTGTGAACTTTGAGAAGGACGGAGAACGTGATGGAAGAGGTGGTGGGACAGGGAGCCTGTTGGGATGTCAGGAAAGTATTGGCAGCACATCAAAAACCTGATGGGTTTCAAAGAGGCAGAGAGGGCTGCAGCGAAGTGCCTTTGACTTTGGCGTTTTATCTAAAGCGATTGCCAACCATAATTAGCAGAGAATGCAATCATAGCAAATACCGCTCAGATTTTCTTCCTTCAAACCGCTTTTTTTCCTAGTTAAGCTTTAAGAAATACATTGTACTTTTTATGTTAGGAATCAAAACACAGATAAAAGAAATGAAGTCATTCCCAACTTTGTAAAACAGGCTTCATTAAGTCTCACATACTAAATTCAAGCAATCAGCAGAAAAATGGGAGTTACTGTGGATGAATAGGGGTACGTTCTTGAGAGTGCCTTGCTACAAAAAGCATTTAATGACCCCCTTTGTCTTTACTGAAGCAAAAAAGAAGACCCAGAAGGGAGCATTAAGCTTTTCTATAGTGAGGGTTACATTTGAATAGAGATTTGCCTTAGAAATCTCTTTGTATACTTCCAGACTATTTGTTTAGCTTAATGTGGTGAGTTCAAAGGATGCTTATATATGAAAAGCAGGTGAACTCTATTTTTCGGTCTTCAGTAAGTTTCAGGTATGTAAACTAAGGCAAGGCAGCACTAGGTGACCAGTTTGCTTCCTTCTGTGCTTTAGGTTTGTTGCCATTTGTGAAACATGCTGTAAAAGTTCTGTCTCTTTTTGTTCCCTTCTAAATAAAGACAGTTTTTACCCATTAAGCAGCCACTGATTTACACAGCAGTTGGTTTGATTTGATGTTGTGTTGCGTGGAGCTTGGTGCAGTGGTTTCTGTCCTCGTCCAGTCAAGGGAGCCTGATATGTTTAAACATGAACACGAACACGCACCATATTGTAACATGGGGCAGAGGCTGATGCAGTACTTACAGCTGGATGGTTATATTTACCTGTGCTGTCTCTTCAGTCAGAATGATGTTCTGATGCCAAAAAAAAAAAAAAGAAAAGGAATTTTTGAGTTATGTCTCTGGGTGCCAGTGTTCTAGTATTTCTGCTGCTGTTTGAATTTCTGTAGTTCTGTTTATGAAGTCATATTTCAGCTTCTGTGTTTGACACTGACATTGATGGCTATTTAAATCTGAAGTTCAGAGAAGTTCAAGATTTTTACCAGTATTTTGCAATAATATTATGAATTTCTATAGAAATTCTTCACTGTGAGGGTGGTGGGACTCTGGAACAGGTTGTCCAGAGAGGTTGTGAATGCCCCATCCCTGGAAGTTTTCAATACCTGGATGGGGCTGTGAGTAACCTGGGCTAGTGGGAGGTGTCCCTGCATATAGCAGGGGTTTGGAGCTGGATGATCTTAAAGCCATTCTATGATTCTGTAGAAATTTATCCTGTAGTTGCTTCAGGAATGCATGGTGTGACACATTTTCTCATGTACTTTGGAGTTTTCTAGCATTGTGGATCCAGTTTTTCTGACTCATAGCAGCTATCTAAAGTTGTTATTTAGCAACAATAGCATCAGTTGGATTCATAAGTGTCATCTGAAATCATAAGAATGAGAAAGTTTTAACTGGTTTATCATTGCTCTTAGATTTCTGGTTAAGTGAAGTCTAAAGGGCTCTGTGGGTTGGGTTAATGAGACTCAGGAATGGTGCATACACCTGAAGGCTTCAGGAATTGCATTGAGCCCGCTGAGCTGCTGTGTGCACTGCTGCCTCTATTCCTGCATCTGCAGAGCTTGGTGTCAGGCTTGAGCAAAGGGCATGTGCTCATTCTACTGGGGAAACTCAAAACCTGGTATAAATGATGAAGAGAAAGGGTTGGCTCAGGGCACGAACCTGGGAAGGTAGTTTATCATCTTGTGCTTACCTGACACAAAAAGCATGGAGCATTTTGCTGTTTTTTAGCCATTTCCCCTGTCAGGGAAAAGGAGTGATTTGGGCTGGTGGTTTTTGTAAAACTATGTGGTAATGAAATGCAGTATGGCAACAACAGGAAGACTTTTCTGGTCAGTTATTTGAAATTATTTCCCGGATAAAGTTTCACTTCTGGCATTGGCCTCCAGTGAATATTAAATGAATGTGAATTTTAAAGTGAAGCAGTAGAGATACCTTCAATAATGCTGTATGTTGCTGTTAGAAACGAGTGATGCTTGATTTTTTTTTTCCCCACGCATTACTTTGCAAACTATATTTTCAACCATAATTCAAGAAAACAGGTTTGCAGATCAGCTCTGCTTTCATCTGCTATTCATATTGAAGTTAATTGCAAAAATCAAGATCATAGGGACAATTTCTGTAACTCATTCTTATTGCTTCTGATTCTCTTTGCAGTTGATGAAGATGGTATTAAGGAACTGGGCAGAGTTAGAGTACTTCACAAGAGAACCATAATGCCTTACAGTGTGTATAAGAAGAGGAGGAAGGGGCCGAGCGATGAAGCCAGCGTTCAGCAATATGCAAGTTTGGTTGGACAGACATGTTCAGAAAGAATGTTGTTGTTTAGAAGTTGAGAAACCATCGAATGACGTTTTGATGGCACAACCACCATGGATTGCACTGCCACTGGATGATGTAATGTAGTTGTGTGTTGGTATGCCTACTGGAGTAACAGTATGAAGTACAGGTATATAACTAGGCTTGTGAATATACATGGAACTGTGTTTAAAGACAACTCCAATGAAACTTTTGACAATACAGCAAGGCTTTAGCAATATAAGCTTAGAAAAACATGCTTGCAGTACATTTTAATTAAACAGTTCTTGTCTTTCTTTGCATTTTGAATAATCCTAAGTAAGCAAAATGAAAAACAGGTGTTTTTTCTGCAGACAAAGGTTGGCTAAATCTCCATTAATGATAATTAAATCACAAGTGTTTTCAAATAGCAGCTTGGCTATCTGTTATATAAAATTGCCATTAAATTTGTACTCACGTTTATATGTTCCTAAACTATTGCAAGAGAATTGAGATGTTGTTACTTTTCAGTTGGAAACTTGAAATAGTTTAATTATATTTCAACACTGTATTTAAAAACAGGAAGAAATAATTTTCACTGCACATTCTTCAGTTGTTTAATGTAGCAGGTTAGCATCTGAGCTTCTACTGAGTGTGGAATCATAGTTGATTGTCAGTGGCAGGAGATGCAGCACTTTGGAAAACCTTCCCTTTCAGAGACAAAACAGAGTAGTTGCACTATAAATTTACCAAAGAGATGCAACCAAGTGTCATGGAGTTCTGTGGGGTATTTTGTTGTTGGTTATTTGTTTTAAGCCTTATCCTTTATCTAAAAAAAAGTGGATATTTTAATGCACGTCACTGATGTGAAATAGAGTTTGGGATATTCAGCTTACAGCTCTTTAGTGCACATTTCAGAACTATGCTAAAAATGATGTGAGGTACCACTGCTGGTGGTTGTTGCAATTTTTTCAGCAGAGTTGTATGGGGAGTCTTGCATATCCTATTCCTTGATCTTTGTGACTGTTCTGTTTATGCCACAGTGGCCCACGGGTTATTAACATCTTCAATTGAACATTTCTCTTGGAAACAGAAAGATGTGATATGTTATCAAAGCACTTTATTACTGATATACTAATGCTTTCATTAGTAAACTGCATCTGTATCAAGTCATACAGGGGAAATAATCTTTTTATTCACCAACAACATTATAACAATCCCAGTGTGTTGGTAATTTGCTTATCTTGGGTGACAGGAGCTACTATTTACCTTGAGACAACCTGAAGTTTCCTGTTAACCTTTGAAGAAGGAGAATCTTATTCAAGAATATATGTGTACATGTTTCTTTTTCCCCAGAAGGAAATCAAATTCAACTTTAATCTCTGAAGGTTATGTCTTGTGTCAGTTGTGGGCTTGATTTAATTTTGAACCCTTGGCCAGTATCATTAATCATTGATTTTTATGTGAAACAGCCACAAGAATGTAGAGATTCAAGTGCGTTGGGGATTTATTTTTTTCCCACGTCAGTTTGGTCACTGCAGTATTACAGGTGATGAGTGCGGGTTCATCAGTAACTTTAAAATGTGTTAATTGCTGTGTATTGTATCAATCTACTGCCACTTTGCAACAGAACTGGTTATTTCTGCCAGCCTTGTAGCTGGATGTACGTGCGTTATCTGGAACAGCGAGGTTTGTGTGCTGTACAACCTGTGTCTGCCCACATCTCACCTAAGCCTACTGCTACAAGACCACTAACTGCTATTTATGGCTGTTATAAGGAGTTGTTTGCTGTGGGGGAAATACCTCTTACCACTTGGTGAAACGTTGGAATAGTGTAACATTTTCTGCCTATCCTGTGTGTTGAAATGTGGTGATGCCCATAGAGCTTAAAAACAAAATGGAAACCTTTTTGTGTGATATAAAATCAGTCAAAAGGCACAAAGAAAAATCCACTATGACTTTCAAAATATTAAAGGTAATAAAACTCATTTACTGAAGGACTTGCTGAACCTGGAAGTTCTTTACAGAGAGAGTGGTGAGGTGCTGGAACAGCTGCCCAGGGAGGTTGTGGATGGCCTGTCCCTAGTGGTGTTCAAGTCCAGGTTGGATGGGGCCCTGGGCAGCCTGGTCTGGTATTAAGCCTGGTCTAGTATTAGATATGGAGGTTGGTGACCCTGCCTACAACAGGGGTTGGAGCTTGATGATCCTTGAAGTCCCTTCCAACCCAAGCCATTCTATGAATTACAAGGGAGCAGACTTTGGTTAACAGCCAGAGCTTGGAAGAGCTCTGTGCCCAATATTTATTGCTGATTTGCCTTCCATGGATGTAACAGACTTTTTTTTTTCTGATCCTCTTTTCTCCTCAGGAGCTTTTAAAGACTACAGTTAAAGAAAAGTGAGGTATGTATGAAAATGAGAATAGAGTACAACTTGAAGTTGTTGTTAGTGCAACAACAAAATCTAAATGACCATTTCCTGTGAGTTCCTACACGGTGCTTTCATTTTCTGACCTCCACTGAAACTGCAGCAGGATGGGCTTTGGATTCTTATTGAGATAAAATTAAAAAAAAAAAGTCAAAATTGAGATGAATTCAGAAATTGAGCTCATCTGATCCAGCATGCTGATATCTGACATGCTTTGGTGTTGCTTTAGAAGGAAGTTAGCACAGTATTTTCCAGGGCTATTTTAGAAGTGGAACGGAGTCCTGAAGATAAAGCTCTCTAAGCTTTGGCATTGATTTCAGTGGAGCTGAAAATTCATCACTACTTTAATTTTATTTAATGAGATTTCACATAGAATTATTAAAGATATTTAATTTAGTACAAAATACTTTATAAGGATTTTTTTTAGTGTAGTAAGTTTGTGAGAGTTAATCCCTAAAGTAAGGTTGCCTTGTTATCTATTGCTAAATGAGCATAAAATGGTGGTAAGAAAATGCAGAGCTGTGATCAATGCTTAAAAAAAAATAATCATGCTTTGTTTTAATTGGAAAAAGTGGGGAGTTTATGCATTTCCAGCATCAACACATTTCAGTGAATGCAAAAGAACTCGCATGTTGGGTTTGTAATTGCTTTTCAGCAGACCTGTTTGACTTGTAAGTATTGCAAATAAAGCTATTTCTAGTCTCTGTGAGTTATCATAAATAATTAACAGCTTTGAGTGTGACTTCCATCTTACTTTGTAGGAATTAATTATCCTGGTTGTTGAAAAGTGTCCCGTGAACAGCAAAACTGGAGAAGTCAAAGAGCAGCAGTGATTAGAAGGTGTGCAAATCAATTCAAAACGTTTGCCCATATTTTAGAACTAAATCTTACTTCTATGTAGGTGGTGTAGTTAAGAGTTTGCTTGTATGCCTTGAAGCAGAAGCTCTATTTCTTTCTCTGAGTAGAATAAAATAAAGCTGTAGGCTTTTCACAGAAGGAGAGTAAATAGAGCTACTGACTAATTAGGTTATATATACTATTTCCAATGGACTGAAATAAGCAGCCCAGAAATAGGAATTATGTGCTGTTTTCCACAAGGATGACCAAGCACCGATTCATTTTTCCTTCTGGATGGGGCAGAATTCCAGCTAACTCTGGGTTCCTGAGTTAGGCTTTCATCAAAACCCAGTGCCACCATGGCTCAGAGTTTGGTGTGCCAAGGCACGTAGTGATCCAGTGCACGACATGTTGCCAGGTCCCTGCATAGTCCTGGGAGCAGCTGCTTCTCAGTGGGCCTCTCTAGCTGTCACTCTCTTTGAAGCTGAGCCACTCTGCCTGCGTATTCCTGAGTTTCCTCATCCTGCTCATCCCGGATTATCCTTCAGTCATGTGTGATGTGATCTTCTCTGCAGTCTTTCCTTCCCACCCAAGCCTTCCCATGTGTTAACGTTTCTCCTCCCTCAGTTGATCCCGTTGCAGGACTGCACTGTGAAGGATGCAGACAGTTCTTAAGACAGAGACAGTCACCACATTTCAGGGCAATCATCACCTTCCAGAAGCACTGCAGCCATATATTGTACCCATATAAAGCTGGACCTTCAGAGTCTCATCATATACCGAGCATAAAGAAAAGCCAGATTACATTTCCACTTGCCAGATAATTTGTTCAGTGAGCTGAAGCAGTGAAGGCTTTCTGAGCCTGGACTCTGGCTGCCTTTGGAGGCACAGCAAGGAGCTGAGCTGGCTGCTGGTGGTCCTGGGTGGCAAGGAGAAGCAAAAAGTGGCTGCTGTTCAGAGAAGAGCTAGCAGGTAAGTAGCCACATGCTTTGCCTTTATCTGTGAGACAGCTTTGAGTCTCATTAGAGAAATAAAAGGGACTGTGGGGACAAATGATAGAGATGACACCATCTAATTTAGCAGTAGCTGTTAACTAAGTGAGTATGGCATCCAGGCTGAGTATAGGAAATGCATCCTTTTATGAGAGCTTTTAAAAACCCCTGAGGACTAAATGGCTGGGCATGCATGTACTTAATAAGCAGAAGATCAACGAATAGAACTGCAGAAATACGGATCTAGTGCAAAATATGTTGTAAAGCCAAAAGCCATTGTTTACAGGGTACAGATGTGTGGTAGCTCTTCCTGCTACAAAACGTAATACCCAGGTGGTAGTTGTGAGTGGATTCCTAAATGAGAAATCCTATGAATTAATTTGTTACAATGCTAAGGTCAGTGTCCCAGTTTTTGGGGGCAAAAATCTCGAATTTAAGGATGAATTAGGTTGAAATAATTCCTCTGTGCATAGGAGCAAAAAAGCATGGCTGGATGGGGTTCAAGCACTGTGCTGCTCCTCCCATTGCTTCCCTCCGGCCTGGGGCAGGGGACCAACAGGGTTGTGTTTCCCACTGATGGCAGTTGGTCTGTCTCTCCTGATCCCTAATGATAGCAGTTTGTTGTGTTCCTTAGAGGGAAGTCTTGCTGGGACTGGTATCCTTATCCTTGAAAGTTGCTAATGCCTGGCATCTGATTTTCATACTTCTTATTGCAAGTTAACTTAGTTCATTCTGCCTTCCTGACTGAAGAACCATGTCTTAGTAAAACATGTTAAAAATAAAAAACACAAACAGTTTTTGTCTCCTCTAAGGCTCTGGGCTGCAGCCACCAGAGGGCACATTCCAGCTTGTGAAGCACTGATGTTACTTGTTGTCGGAGTGCCTGAGCCTTCTGCATCTTCTATTAACTCATTTGGAGCTTCATTTTCTACTTTGCACTAATTGTGGCATATCAGGGAAAAGGAGTATTCAGGTGGGGCTGACAAACGTGAATGAAGCAATTTTTTATAACAGCTTTTAGTTATTTTCATGAGAAGTATTTGAACATCAGATTTATTAAGTTATGCTGTGGATATCTATATACTCTGAAACAAAGATCCATGAAATACATAAGGAGGGCCCAGGTGGCAGAGCTGCATCCCTCAAAGTGCTTTGGATGCTGTTGTAGTGACACACTGGAACAGGTTGCCCAAGGAGGCTGTGGATGCCCCATCCCTGCAGGCATTCAAGGCCAGGCTGGATGTGGCTCTGGGCAGCCTGGGCTGCTGGTTGGTGACCCTGCACATAGTAGGGGGTTGGAACCAGATGATCATTGTGGTCCTTTTCAACCCAAGCCATTCAGTGATTCTGTGATACGTAGTTTCAGACCATGCGCAGTTGGCAGCATTGACGATGCCTCGCACAGTGTTGATGAATGCATTCTGACAGCTGCTCTGCTCTTCCCGGTGGAACTGCACCAACTAAATCAGTACTTCTCAAGGGAAAAATGCTATCTCCAAAAATGGACCAAGTGTGCTCAGGTGGGGGAGCACTGGAACAGGTTATCCAGACAAGTGGTGGAGTCTCCTTCAATGGAGATATTCAAGACCCAGCTGGATGCTGACCTGTGTGAGCCATTTTAGGGAGTCTGCTTTAGCAGGGCTGGACTTGGTGTTCTTGGAGATCCCTTCCAACCCCTGCCATTCATGTATCTGTCTGCATGCTCACAGCTTCTGGGCCAGGACAGATGTGTATTGCACTCATCCACAACTAACTCAGAAGCTGCATTTTCAGTTCATAATATCTTTTCAGTGCTCTTGCTAATGCCCTCTCTTTTCAGAAGCTGACTTTTAATAATATATATATGTATATTAATATATATATATTTTTTAAAAAGGGATTACTGCTCAGTTCACACCTGCCCCAAAATTCACACAAATTAATCTCTTTTTCAGCAAGGTTTTGCCAGGTTTCCAGGTGTGTGATTGTGAAAGCCAGAACAAATTTTCATTATTTTTCTTTTTCCTCCTTATGTCTCTTCTTTTTAACCTAAGTTGTTTTCATGTCAGAATTTCTTTCTCACCTATGCAGGGAATGAAATGTTGCCAAAATAAGGTTTCTATTAACACAGTGAACTTAGAGGTCAGGAGACTGCAATGCTTCTCTTCACTGCCAAGGGCACTGCAACCCATTTGTTTTGTGAATATGATACTCGTCTCTATTGCTCAAGATTAAAGCAAAGACAGAGCAGTTGGGAAAAAAGAAAAAGAGTTCCAAATTTTATTTATTATTCCTCATACATATAAATTATTCTGGTGCCCAGAAACTTGGAAAACTAAGCAGTGACAGCTGCTTGCATGTGTCCTCAAACTGAGATTGTCCTCATCGCTGACATTTTTGCAGTCCCTAAAATCCCAGATGCAAACGCTCCTTTCTAAGCTGCCTTTGGTGCAGTCGGACCAGGAAGAAGAGTTAGAATTTTGTAAGTTCTGCAAATCAGACCTGGTTATTTGCACTTGAGATTTGGAGGCCTAGATAACATTGAGTACGTAGCTGACACTCAGACCCTTCAGCATCACTGCCACCATTGGGAACCCTGCCAGGGAGTTCAGCAGGACCAAAGTCTAAGCAGCCTTCTGCAAATTTAGGAGTCAGCTGTTCATGCTAGGGCTGAACAATGCTTTTCACTCACTAACGTGGCATATAGTCTTCAGTTACTTCAGTCTGCCACTGACCCAACTCCAGCTTTGGACATTGTGAGTTCCTGCTGGTCTCATTACAAACACTTTTCCTTTCAAATCAATACCATCTTCAGGTGGGAACTCTTTAAATCCTTCTGCATTCGTGGGCAAGTGTGGTTGAACCTGGCATGGCTGAGCATGAAACCCACTGCACCAAGTGGAGCGAAGCTGTCAAAGTATTCTTCCCATGTACAAA